AATCCTAGCATTCTGGGAGGCTGAGGCAGGAAGACAGCAAGTTCAAGCCCAGCTTGAAAAATTCAGCAATAAAGGAGAGAGGAGAGAAGCCCAGGGCGAAGGTCAGGTTCAATGTCCAGTAATGAAAGATCTGCTCCACACTCTCCATATCCCACAAGGACTCAGGACAAAATCCTTCAAGGGCTACACTAACCATGGCACAATCACTGCATTTTGTAAAAACAAATCAAAACACACACACACAAAAAAGCAAACACAGGCTTCTAAACAATTTAAGACATTTAAAATGAAAAACCTTAGACTGTGTACAAGAAGCTATTTCACGAAGTAAAGCAGGTTGGAAAACAAAAAGTGAGCTTTAGAGATCCGAGCCCAGGATCAAGTTGAAGCTGCCGCTCCCTCCCATACTGCCACTGTGAACCTTCTCTAAACTGTCATCTGAGTTGGTCAGCTTTCCATGGTGGTGACACAGTTCCAGCCACAAATCAACTTAATGGAGAAGAGCTTTGTTCTGGCTCATGGGTTCGGTCCACGGTCACTGGCGCCATCGCTGCGGGCCTGTGGTGAGGCGGCCCGTCACGGTGGAGAAGGTATGGCGTAGCAAGCTGCTGTACTCATGGTAGTCAGAAGCAGAGAGAGAGAGCCAAGGAGGAAGGAAGAGGTCGGGGGCACGATTTAATCTCCAAGGTCACAATCAAATGACCCACTCCAACTGGTCCCCACTTCCTACCAGCCCCTGCAGCTGAGAAGTCACCAGTGGGTTATTCCACGGGTGGGGTAAGCAATGCATCCTCCGTGATGCATGCTGTGATCACTTCCCCGGAGCCCCACCTGTGAGGGCTGTGGCATCGGGGACCAAGCCCTCAACACAAAAAACGTTCCGGGGGTCACGTCAGATGCAAGCCTTAACGCCACACCAAGTGAGAATTCTAGATGCCACCAACACTTCTGAGCAGCCTCAGGAGCATGCGTGTACTGTGTCCATTGGCAAAATACTGAGAAAAGGAAATGAATGGTCATCCCTGGAAATCCCACTGAAGATTGCTTCTCAGTGTCACAGCACTAAACCATTTCATGAGGGAGGGCTACATACTGCCTACTTATAGTCCTTCAAACTTGAATTGGAGAAAGAAAAAAAAGAAGTGGTCAGATATAAAATATTAAGGGGTAGTTCACATAAAGGTAATCCCATCAGTGACAGCTAATGGGAGAGGGGTTGACATTTAGTATTTAAAAAGGAAACTGAAATGGCTATTACAGGGAAAAAATGACCTATGACAGTCTCCTTTATGTTTATTTTTTTTTCTTTAAAGTAAAAATGGGCTGGGGGGTACGGGGCAAGTACCATAATCTTTTCATTTTTATGACTTCTAAAGTGCTATGTTCCTGTGTACATACATTTATAATCTATTTCTTAATACTTCTGCATTTCATTTTAAACCAAATTGAATTTATATTTTATAATGTAGACTCTGTGATTCTTGGAAATTGGTTTTCAGTGGATTAGAATTTACCAATTAAAACTATTCAACTGAATACATTATCCAGGCATGCTCTTTTGAACAGATTTTACTTCTTACATTACTGTACAGTGACTCTATTAATACTGAATCATTGAGCAGAACATGATGTATTTTAAGATAGGATTTTGCACTGTTGTCTGATATAATACGCAGGGCACAAAGGACGAGGAAGATTCAGTTCTCTGACACTCCTGATAATGAGACCCTTTACGCACCCAAGCTGAACAAGCGGAAGCTGTCTCAGAAGCAGCCTGCTTTTTTCTTTTATGAGCATGATCTGAAACACATACACTAAAAACAGTATCAATTTTGATGTGGCTGTTGAGGGGGGAGGCAGGAGTCGCATATCGTGTTAGCCATTTTCTGTGGAATCACATTAAAGTTTCATTGTGGTAGCCATATCACATTAAAATCTGGGTGTTTTGTTTTTTTTTTTCTAAATGGGTTCCATTGTGTATGTAGTGAATCTGATATGGAAAATTGCTAATGCAATAAGAGTATCATAGAAGCTTTCCTGACTGTAATGCTCAGCCACAATATTCTGGAGGAGGCCCAACTGGACTGGGGGATTTCAGAGGCTTTTGACAAGTCCTCAGCTCCCATTCAACACCGGCTTCTTGAAAGATGGACCTTCTATGGGTGAAATGCTTTTATAGATTTTATTTCCAAAGGGACCACAGGTTCAATGAAAAGATTAGTCATTTAATTAATATTTATTGACTGACTACTACACAGGGCACTGTGGTCAAAGTTAAGGGAATGAAAAAGCACATGAAACACAGCCCCTTCCTGCAAGGATCTTGTAAAGATTGTCTGAGGGGAAGAAATAAATTAGTATATGAGTAACTTAATACAAGACAAAACGTGCCGAGAATGAGAAACACGAAGAGCCAGAGGAGCTCAAAGCAGACACGCCCGGCACCGGGGTCATCACAGAAAATTCCGTGAAGGCAGCACCACCACCCTCCAAGCCCGGGAAGCTGCTGATGAATCTGAGACCCTTGTGGGCAGGAAAAGGAGCTCAGTCTCACCTTGCGTAAAGGCACACAGAAGAGGACAGCCAGGGTATGCTGGATAATTCACTGTCCGACTTTCAGATGAGTCTGGAAAAGTGCTTCCGGGTCAGCCCAGGGCTGACGCCAAAGGAGAAGAGTGTGAGACAAACGCGAATACTGGCGCACCGCACGGTTTGGGGAGGAAGGGGCAGGGTGCATCAAGCAAGAGGAGCACCCTGCTTTCAGCAGTGTGATGACTTTTTATGCTAACAAGTATCTCAAAATCTTAAGAACTTCAGCTGACACAAGCTTCCTAAAAGACACAATTTACAGAAATGTTTACTTTAAAAGCTTAGTTTATTGTAGGGAGTATTTATTTACTTTTTGCTATGTCCCTATTCTTACCATAGATATTCACTGCAATAACACAAAACACTACTACAGTAAGTACTTAGGAAATTACTGTCCCTTTTAAAGAATAACTTTCCAACTCACTAGCAACAGTAACCTAGAAAATATAAATCCAACAACCTAAAATTACAACAATTTGAGGAGATTCACGCTGCTGATGTGCTGTTGGATTTACTGTTTTATTCTGAACACATCCCTAGTTCTGAATTCCTCTCCAAATGTTCAACACAATAAACACATAGTCTGCGTTAAGTTTCATTAAAACTTTAAAATTTAGCACTCTGAGGGCAGAGGCAGAAGGATGGAAAGCTTGAGCTCAGCCTGGGCAACTTAGCGAGACCCTGTTTCAAAATAAAAAAATAGGAAGGGCTAGGAAATACAGCTCGGTGGTAGAGCATCCCTGGGCTCCAGCCCCAGTACTGCAAAAGAAAGAAAACCCTCAAAACTGAATGTGGTATAGTTTTCAAAATAAAAACCCAAAGCACTTATTTGTCACCATTTTTACTTTCCCTTAAATCAGAGCATATCCTGGGGATAAGTATCACAGTAGTTACAACATATTAAAGCTGAACATATGAAACAGCTATTTTGCTTATTACATAAAAAAGTCAGGGGCCGGGGATATAGCTCAGCAGCACAGCGCCTGCCTGGCAGGTGTGAGGCCCTGAGTTTGATTCCTGGTACCAAAAAAAAAAAGTCACATATACACTAATCGATTGCCTTAATGTAGAGCGACCACTCACTAAGCACCATCTCTCCAATTTTGCAAAGCACATTCCACTCTCCCTAATCGAAATTAAGCTATTTGCACACTGAAATAGAATTTGACGAATTTGATGAATTTCTTAATTTGTTCTCCTCCAACTGGCCACATTAGAAAACATAAACAAATTTTGGAGTTGTTTACTATTTACAGTTGTCCTTAGTAATGTTTCGTCAAAAAACAAAACCGTTCTTTCATGTCTTAGGTAGTCAGAGATGCAGCAGTTAATACCTGTCTATACCTTCTGATTACTCATTATCGAGGGATATATAAGTGAGAGTGAAAAAAAAAAATCTAAAGGAAAAACCCAAATAGCTTACGTTGACTTTTAAAAGACTACTATCAAAGGTGTTAGAAGGATAAGTGGTGCTTCGGTTCACGAACTCAATCCTCTCCACGATTCTGGCCCCAAACTGAACCGGATGAGGACAAAGTGAAACTTCCCCATGAGGTCAACATTGACCCTGACCCCTGAATATGACTCAGTTCTTGTCCAACTTGTTTTGCAACCCGAATCGGCAAAGGAGTTCGTGAACCGAAGGTGCCGTAAGTGGGTTAACCTAAACTTGGTCTTTTGATTTTTAGTAAACAACGTATAGTACTGATAAAAATGAGTGCCCTGATCTAGAGTATGTTGGCTTTCTCTTCAGCATAGCTTGAAACCACAGAGCTCCAGCACAAAACAGCTCCAACAAAGCTGGCTAGTCAGGCAGAAAAGTAGAGCTAGTGGCGTCAGAGCAGACTGAGGCCGAAAGCTGTCTAGTGACAGTCCTCCGGCCACCACTGGAGCCGATTACCACCACAAAAAGTTACTTTCCCCATACATTATTTCAAACCTCTGTCACCTTGTCAATATTTAACATGCTCCTTATTCATAAACTACCACATCGGTTTTTTATCTGCCACGCTCCCGATAACCATAAAGTGGTCCAAAATCATATTCACGTCTCCTGCAAGCATGGGGCCAGTCGTTCCTTGAATCCTTGTCTATTTCAAGTACAGAATGTTTGGGTCGTACTTTTTTCTTTTTTTACTTCCTTTTTAAATATAGACCACTATTTTTTAACTGTAAACACCCAGTGGCATTCCCTCACACCCACAGGCGCCCGAGGGCAGAAGACATGCCTGAAATACTCACATTTCATTCACCCAGATGATGCAAAAGGTACGTTATTGCCCACGCGGTAGCATTATTCAAAATCTTACGACTTTCTAGTCATCCCCCATTATTTTGCTAAACCGCATTTCCAGAAGATCACCTGCGAAATCTAGGAAGCCACTGAAACGCTGCTTGTAAAACGAACCCACCGAGAGCACTTCGGTGTCCTCGTGGGTGCGCGCGCGACTGCATGACGGGATGAAGCACTCACACACACTTTTGTTGCAACGCTAGAGCCGCATCATTTGCCGGAGCAGCGACTCCAGCCCACAAATACATCAACGGGCGCGTTTCCAAACTGTCACTTCAACTTCCCACAGTGCCGGGCGGGAGGGGAAGGAACGGCGGGGCGAGGACGCGCGGGCGAGCACCCACCGCGCACACCTCGCGCCCGCGCTCACAAAGCCGGCGTCGCCCAGTCTCGGCCGGCCCCCGAC